AGAGGCAGAGCTTGCATTCTCTTGCTTGAGTCGTACTCGAGACCCTGTTCGACGACCGTCTGGTGGTGATTGAGAGCGATTGCGTAGGTGTATGGAGGGTAGGATCAGCTTCTTTTGCTTTGATGCGGGCAATATCGCGTCAAGGTCTACCGGCACCCCTAGAGACACAAGAAAGAGGCGACGAATACGGGACCGCACCCAATTGGGAGGTTGCAAAGGTGGTGGAGCAACAAGTTGAGACCACAAAGAGAGGCTTCGGTCTGTAAGAAATATAGAATTCTGGTCCGATATTGTTGGTGGGGCAGGAGGATAGGATTCCTGCGTCGAGGGGAACAATTCGTCGAGATACGGATTGGTCGCATTAATAATGTCGTCAAGAGTATCCAGCTCGCTAAAATCAAGGAGTGACTTTGACACGTAAATCAGCTTCGATAGTATATGGAGCAACCCAAGGGACGAGGTGCTACCGTGGGTTTGAAGATTCAAGGAATCTTACTTACAAAAGGAGATATCGAAGGCGGCAGAGACTGGACAGAGTGTGAAGGTGGGCCCGCCTCTGCCGGCTCTTCGTCTGATATTGGAGATTGCTTCAAGCCCTCATCAAAGTCGCCAAAATCTTCGTTCTCTGCACCTGCTTCAAAGTCGTCGAAATCATCCCCGAAGCCTTCACCATGGTCCGCCTCCGTCCCATTACCAGCTTCGTCATGCTTCGATTCAACGCTTTCGTTTTCAGAATCTTCATACTCCATAGGACCGAAGCCACCATCTGCCGCAATTGGCGACGCGCCTTCTATTGGAGGTTTTGTTCGCTTCGGCTTGGAAAGTTTGGATCTATCTGACTCAGTCATTGGCTCGCTGGACAGCACCCAGCAAAGAGTCTCTTCGCTCACCTGATACATCGCCTTTCTTCTCAACAACGTCAGGCTTTGCATCTCCTTTCCGCATGTCAAAAGCATCAGTGCCCGGCACTTCTCCATGGCTTGGCTCAGAATCCACTTTCGTAATCACGGTCGTGGGAATCGGGATCTCGGGAGAGATGCCGTCACCTCGATCCTCATTAACAGAGGCTTCATCGCGCTCAGGTACTTGCAAGATGACATCTGGCACAGCGTCTGCTTGCCTTTTTGAATGTGCGGCAGTGCCTGGAACATCTCCATGACTTGGAGAATTTAGATCAACCTTCTCAACGACCATCTTCGGTATGGGAATGTCTCTTGGGCTAGCCAAATGATCCTGCTGGCCCGTGCTTGAATGAGGCCTACTTTCGCGGCCATCTGGTATGATCTCGAGCTCATCTGGCACGGCGTCTTGTTCTCTAGTCTTGTAGGCGGCTGTGCCGGGTACTTGTCCGTAGCTATCTCTATCATCGACCTAGCAGTAATGAGCTTTACGTCCAGAAACATAGAAGGAGTGGTTGACCTTTTCCACCCTCGTCGTAGGTACAGGAGAGCTTGGTCCTGAGTGAGAATTCCGAGCCTCTTGTGCATCCGAAAACACATCTTCCTCAGCCTCTGACGTCTCTTAGACCACGGTAAGCAGCTGCTCAGTGACATCTTCCGTATGGAAGCTTGAAAAGCGCAATTACGCACCCAGATCATGCGCCCCAGGATCTTCAAGCTCAACGCTTTTGCGAGGAGGCACCAGAGTAGGGCTCTTGGGAGGATGAGAGAGATCTGCCATTTCGAAGAAGATAGTTGGCTAGGATTGAGTGTCTAGAAGAATTCACTATAAGCTCTTAGAATGAGAGTAGAAAACGACAAGTGACTGTTGTGGTGAAACGCTAAACCTCCGCAATTCTTGGCAAGAGAAGAGATGAGAAACCCCGTTAGATTTATGTGAAATCACGCTAGTCCTTAGGTGCATTGGCTGCACCACGGAAAAAGGTTCGAGTGTTTCTGAGGTACCCTCCTCCTCACTTATCTACGGTTCGTTGGACAGCTGTTAGATAATAAATGGAATGGGCATAGCAAAAAGAACGCGGAAGTTCGCACAGGTCGGCAGCTGGCCTGGCAGGGCAGAGACTAAATATGTGCTGGGGCGCGGGGCTACCCAGTAGTGGAAAACTTGCCGAGGATGTGAGAAGACTGAGAAGACTGAGAAGACTGAGAAGATTACTACTGCATAGTACTAATTCTATTAAGGGGAGACCCCCTAAACCCCCCTACCCTCCGGGGGCTCTCCGAGGGCTCTCCGAGGGGAAGATTACTACTGCATAGTACTAATTCTATTAAGAGGAGATCCCCTAAACCCCTCTACCCTCCGGGGGCTCTTCGAGGGCTCTTCGAGGGCCCTTCGGGGGCTTTTGTCGGAGGGACCGTTCTCGCAAGCTCGAAATTATTTATATAAAGTCTATTTTGAGATCGATATAAGGTCGTTCGCTTCGTTAAGATTATAACTATAATCTCTCTAAAGAAATTTCTTATAATAATTATTAATTATAAGTCGAAGTTGCTTATAAATAATCTTAAGATCTTTATATCGAATTACTATATATAATAAAATCTTAAGTTTATTCTTAATTTAAGATTAATCGATCGCTATATACTTAGCTTTTATAACGTAAAATACGTAATCTAAGACGTCTTATAATTCGATACTAATAGGCTTTTATAAGAATTACTCTTTTTAAAGATATATCTAATATATAAAATTATTATATAAATTCTCGACAACCTCTCATTAAAGATAAAAACGACTTATTTCGACTTTTTCGTAAACGCGTTTTAGAGTGTCGAGACCTTGATTTTTTTATAGATATATATTATAAATATCGAATATAGGGCGTTTAATATCGAGGTCTAAAGTATTAGACTTAAAGATATTTATTTATATCTCGATAATACGTATAGAATTAATACCTTCGAGAGTAGTTTAGAAAAGATTTTAAGGTGTTATAAGCTAAGGTTGAGATTATAATACGATATCACACGAAGGTAATCGATGTTATTATCGATTTTAAGCTTTTCTCTAAGATTGTAACTAATTTTGAGAGTATAACTATAAGAGAGCGCGCTCGGTATTTTATTATTAATAATTCTTTTAATGTCGATTTATAATACGTCGAGCTACAGAGGATGCGAGGCCAAAATCTAAAATTAATTAAGATATATTATAGTAGGGATAGAGATAGAGAGAAATAGAGAAAATCAGAGAAAATTTAATATTTCTAGCTAAGACTTACTAAATCCTTAGTTACTTCCTAATAAAATAAGAGTTTCCTAGAATGATCTCACAGCGAGGCTTGGCATAGAAGTGATTTTATTCTTGAGCCAGGAGAAAGCAAGCTTTCCAATAATACCGGTTTAATTGTCATATAAAATACTGTCCAAAATGATCATTTCCAGACGTAGGCTATGTACTCTTAGACTGTAAGATCGTAGTCCCGTGGGGTTGATAGAATACAACAGACACCACCACGCTGGGTGGGGAGACAGCCTGGAAGGAGCGCTAAAAATCGTATTTTTGGTAGTATGGCGATGTTGGTTCAACATAAGGCCCTCTTTGAGAACCTTGTGGACCTTGTGGGATCACTCTAGGTCATACGATACCACAGTGTCATAAGGCCCCTTCGCTTATAAGATACGGTTCCAAATGAGAATTTGCGGACGTTTCGTCTGTATGAGGTATCTTATATGACAATTGAACCGGTAGGCTGACAATTTCACCTCAAGCCAAAGGCACAGAAGGCGCATGAGAGCCGTGAACTTCAACACATTCCCCAAATTCCGTCAAACCTCTTCTTCACTGCAAATAAAGCACTTGGTCCTCTTTACCACGTTATCCTCGATACAAACTTCTTTTCCCACTCTGTCCGCGCCAAGGTCGACATACTTTACTCGAAAGGTTGATGGATCTGCTCTTTGCTAAACTTGTCCCTGTGGTTACTGATTGTATGACTGGGGAGCTTGAAAAGCTAGGCGGCAACTGCAGGCTGGCCCTCCGTGTGGCAAAAGATCCAAGATGGCAAAGATTGCAACGTGGACATTCTGGGACATATGCAGATAATTGCATCATCTCAAGGGTTCTTCAGCATCGTATATATCTATTTGGAACAAATGACAAGCATCTTCGCCGGCGATTGCGTAAGATACCTGGTTTTCCTCTTGCGGGCGCGGGAAAGGGAAAGTACAGAGTTGAAAGGCTTCTGCACAATAGATAACCGCGCTGCCCGATGGTTGTCGTTCATGCAAACTTGGCGGAGCGTGCCTAATCCGGCCTAATGGGGCACTCAATTCTTGCTGGGGGGAGTGGTATGAGGATTACCTCCAACCGACTCTGAGAACAGAGCAAAATGTGCCCTGAAGGTGTGCAGTCCGATGTGTCGAGGTGCTGTACGATGGGAAGTGTTGGCGGCGGTGGAGGCTTCATCTGTTGAGTTATTGGTGGTGGCTTTGCGGAAGTCTTTAGGTATGACTGAAATGAAAGGAGATTGTCCCGGGTCAAGCATGCATGAAAGGCTTTATTGAAGGGGCTCAGCCTTTCCCATTAAACTTCTGTATATGGGCTTTGATGGCACCTCTATACATAAAATCTGCCGAATCTGTTCTTGCTATGAGTGTGATGTGAAACTTTCAGACCAACTGACCTCTTGCTATGGTGATATTACCGCCACAAATGTGCCCTACGTCTGGCTTTGCAACCGTGAAAATGAGATGTGAGAGTTTTAGGAATCGCCATTTCATTTAACTAGTGTAGTGAGGTCTTTTGGCACCGCAATCCTTGATAAGGCGGCGCTCACCTTAGACTCGATAGGGGTGAGATCGTGGTACATTTCGTATAGCTTGGCACAATTCGCGTTCAATATATCGCGTCCCGCTTTGGAGTGTTCACTCGTAACATCCAGAATCTACCATAATTGTCACGGCATCCCTCTTTCTCCTCCCGGTAAGTACAATCGCCTGCAACCTCAGACGTCTCTCCAAAAACCCAAGATGCCTCTTCGAAGAACCACGGCTAACAGATTGCTGAGTCCCAGAGCGACACCTCCACTATCAAACACCATGTCTGATCCAGCAAAATCTACCACATCGTTCTCTTTCGGTCAACCTGCAACGAGTGGAAGCTCTGGTAGTTCCTTCGGCCAGACAAATACCACTGCCTCGACTCCAGTCGGTGGACTGTTCGGATCGAGTGTCAATCCTCCTGCATCGTCGGCTGCAAATCCATTCGGCAACACAACCACGGCCGGAGGGAGTTCTCTTTTTGGTGGCGGAGGAGGTGGCAGCAACCTATTCGGTGGAGAGTCAAACAAGCCTGCGGGTGGATCTGGTTGGAGCTTTAGCCAGGCGCAAGGCAACAATACTTCTGGTGGACTTTTTGGCACTGGGCAGGCAGGACAACGGAACAATGCACCCTCAAGCAGCGCCGCGCTTTCTTCTGGATTCACTGGCTTCTCTACGCCGAGCAAACCTTCAGAAACAGCAACGACTGGACCGAGTCAAACGCCTGGTGTGTTTAGCGGCGCGGGCAGCACCGGGGCATTCTCCTTTGGCAATCTAGGCTCGAACACATCTTCCGCAGATCAGACAAATACCACCACACCAACCAGCAAACCCACCACAAATCTTTTTGGGAATTCTACGACTCCTGCCGGACCACCCCCAAGCACCAGTGCTGGCGGCGCATCCGCGTTATTTGGCAGTAAACCTCCACAGAATGCAAGCAATCCTTTTGCAACCCTAGGCAGTCAATCGTCCGCCCCAGGTATTAGCTCAACAGCAGCACCGTCCAGCGGCTTTAGTGGGTTCGATTTTGGAGCCAGTAAGCCTAAAGAAGCTCCTGCGACGACATCTACTGCGCAGTCTCCCAGTATCTTTGGATCCACACCAAGCGCTGGTGTTTCTAATCTCTTCGGCAATAAGAGATCGGCTCAACCCGATGGAGGAAATCTCTTCAACATGAACAAAAGCCAGGACACAGGAGCGACTAAGCCCGCTACGTCGCAGCATTCCCAATCCGAAGTGCCAAAGGCTTCGAGTCTGTTCCCTAACCTTGGTGGACAGTCTTCCGCCACCGCGTCCTCTGCACAAACAACGAGTGCTTCCCAGCCCGAATTCAGCTTTCTCCGAGCTAACCAACCTCAACCATCCGCAACAAATCCTGTATCATCACCACCAACAGCACCAAATGCCTTTGGGTTCTTTAGCAGTCCACAAAAAAGCTCGGGCACATCTGCACTCTCTACTAATGCTCCCTCTAGTAGTCTGTTTCCCAACATAGGGAAACCGCAAGACAAAGCCCCTGTTACCGCTTCTCAAGCCACAAGCACATCAGCCGCATCAGCGTCAGCGTCCGCCCCTACTTCAAGCTTATTCGATAATTTTGCGAAATCCGCCGCTCCATCTGAGATCTCGCAAGCACCAACGCAGCCCGTTACGACTGCCACAGCTGAAGGTTCCGGAGCTGCGAATGTGAAGTTGGGGGCGTCAATAGCCGGCCCCCCACCACCTGCCCAATCACGGCTTAAAAACAAGTCTATGGATGATATTATCACGAGATGGGCCTCTGACCTATCAAAGTACCAAAAAGAATTCCAGAAGCAAGCCGACAAAGTAGCAACGTGGGATCGTATGCTCGTGGAAAACAGTGAGAAAATTCAGAAGTTGTATGGTAGTACTTTGGAAGCGGAGCGAGCAACCACCGAGGTTGAGAGGCAGTTGAGTGCTGTCGAGGGCGATCAAGAAACACTGGAATCGTGGCTTGATCATTACGAGAAGGAAGTGGACTCGATGATAGCGAGCCAGCAAGGTGGCCAAGGTGAAACTATCTCAGCGCCCGATCAAGAGAGGGAGAGAACGTATGTACAACACTCTTAATTTGTAGGAAAAATTGTGCTGATAATGTCCCGAAGCTACCAAATCGCTTCTAAACTATCCGAGCGACTAGACGAAATGGGCAAGGATTTGACCGATATGATCGAAGAGATCAACGATGCATCGTCTACTCTCAGCAAGACAGGCAAAGCAGATGATCCTGTAAGTTTCTTTTTGCCTTCATCTTCCAATCAATGATAGCTAACCTTGCGTCTTAATGCAGCTCACCCAAGTCGTCCGAGTTCTCAACAGCCATCTTACCCAATTGCAGCAGATTGATCAAGGTGCCGCTGCCCTTCAGTTGAAGGTGCAAGAAGCGCAGAGGATGGGCCTCAGCTTCGGCCCATTAAGTGGTCCAACCAGTGATGCCGCTGATGACTTCTATCGATCCTACATGGGGCGAAGATGATTGAGGTTTGCAGGAAAGGATTTGAAATATGATCGTCCAGATAACAAAAAGCATAAAGGACCGGGAAACGGTTTAACTAAGGCATGTCCCGCAATTGTCTAGCATCTGCTTATGTCGAGGCTCCGTGTAAGATTATGATGAGATGTTTAATCTTGTGATGCTGTTTTCGAGCGGTCGATAGAACTTGATACCAAACACAGTGTCAATCACTTTGAGAGAGGTGTACATTGCACTAGCACCTTGCTACTGCTTATAAACAGCTCGGCACACAGAAATAGGAACCTCCTGCATCGAGTACACGTAGCTACCAGTCTTCACACGTTTCTCCTCTGCCTCTGTCAACCTCACAAGTACCCTCTTTCCAGACCTCCCTCCTATTTCTTCTCCGAACCCGAATTCATCTGATCCGTCCTGCGCACCTGATTAGTATTCCCGAATCCCTCATCCCCCTCAGATATGATACATACACGTGCTTATCCAGATCATCCAAATGCTTCTTGTGGTCCTCAATCTTCTTCTTCAACTGTTGAAGCTTCTCTTGCTCCTGTCGACGAACGTAGAGGTTCTCGTCGGCTTGCTCGCGTTTGCTGAAGGCGTCCCTTTATTATTGAAAAGAATTAGCATTAACGCACGACATCGAAGTGTGATTCTCGAAAACGCTTCCGGAGCTAAGAACTTACCCTTGAGCAGAACCCCCAGACCTAGTTGCCCCAGTGTCTCCTTCGCCCATTCTGCTGGCGGTGGTGGCGAGGGTTCGGCTGGTTGGGTATACAGCGCTGCAGAAACCTGGTCTAAGGGTTTGGATGATGGATTGGCGGAGCATGATGGATGTAGGCAGAATCGTGGGATTGTACAGTAGTTTCGTACAGAACAGGATTTGGTCGAAGCTTGAGCGGGGAGATGTTCGTCGACAGCCGCGAAAAGCGCGCTAGTCTGGAGCTTTCCGCTGCACCAGCTATTTACACTTTCTCTTAAGAGATATTCGTCTTTTGACAGACAGCATGGGATTGTATATGGATGACATACATACACCCACGGTTCCCTCTGGACCTACCACAGGGCAGAGAGCCGCAGATGGCGTGGGCAAGGACAAGCTCTCGTTAATGGATCTGATTGCTGAGAAAACGAGAGTTGAGGAGGAACTTACTGCTTTGGGGAGCGTTCTAGACAGCGTGTGTTACGATTTATAAAGATCTCTACCCATGAGACCAGCAGCTGGCTGATCTTTTTCTTCCACAGCATGGCGTCAACATGAACACCACCCTTACAACCTTTGACGGCTACCCACGAGATGACCTCGACATCGCCCAGAGTGCGTAGCCTCCCTCCAACAAATTTGGAGTCTGGTTTGCCAACAGGGTATAGTACGAACAACAAGAGCACGCATAGTATATTTACGGAACGACTACAAGACTCTGATGTCAAAAATCGAACTGGGTCTACATGAACACCATGCTTCGTATCAAGCCTCGAATCCTTCACTTGCCTCAGGCTCCAGCCAAGGGCCTTTGAGAAGTGGGAGCGCTGCTACGGATCAAGACTTGATTGATACACCTTTTGCAAAAGTCAATAGCGTTGTGCCTGGGAGTCCGGCAGATGATGCGGGATTGAAAGCTGGTGACCGGATACGGAAGTTCGGAGACGTCAATTGGTTGAATCACGAGAAGCTGGGTAAGGTCGCGGAGATCGTTCAAAGGAACCAAGGGGTAAGCCTTTTTCTCGCCCTTGACGTCCGAAGCTCTCGCTGACCTCATTTTGCGTCTAGCGAAACGTCGTTGTGAAGGTGGTTCGAAACACAGAAGAATTGACGCTGCAACTGATTCCAAGGAGCAATTGGGGGGGCCGAGGTCTGCTTGGTTGCCACCTGCTGCAAGCTTGATGGCTTGGGCGTGATCGCGTTCTTAGAGTATTCTGTGTTCACTTTCTAAGGGAGCCCACAAAGGAACCAAATGTCCAACATGATGCGATATTCAGAAAGAGCTTTGTGAGATGACAATGCATAATATCCACAAGATCAATAGTCAAATCGTTGTAAAAAACATCCCTCTGAATACGAAAGAGCTCAAGCACCACGAGTAATTCAAGAGACACGCCAAGGCATAACTAAGTCAGGCAATGATTTGATTGGCTGCAGCTGCCTCTGATTTTTCTGGTTCACCAGGTGTGGACAGAAGTCTGAACACCGAGGTTTACCCGGCTACCTGGAGAAAGCTGAGAATCTAATATACATATTCCTTCATTACATCACCATAATGTCGATTTAATACGTCTACCAGGAGAGGATTACGCGGAGGCGTGTGAGGTGTATTCATTGTGTGGTGTGGACAATTAAGAAGAATATTTAATTGTTTTGGTGGTGGGAAAGCCTCCAGTAGCCGGGTAAACCTCGGTGTTCAGACTTCTGTCGACACCTGGTGGTTGTCGCCTCCATCCGACCTACGTGAATTACCGAAACCCGGCAAGGCGGCCACGCTAACCCCCGATCGGATATAGCGCTATTGCACGGAATATCAGAACGATTATATAAACCCCTCGACATCCCTCGCTGTTTGCCCATCACGTTCGTCCTTGCGCACCATCGCCGAATGGTCAGACCGTCTTTCTGGACCCCACGTCATGTCTGCCTTGTCTCCCGCACGCCGCGTCCATCGATCGAGAGTTGGGTCAAGGATCGAAATTTCCAGTCCCCAACGATTCACGCCGCCAATGCTATTGTCGAGCTGCTGCACTGCGCCTCCGCCAGAAGACCTGCCCAGAACGACCGTCACTGAAAATGCACTGCCCCCCCGCCCACTGACAGGGCTCGGATGAAGTGTCCAATTATGGCTTCGTTGACCGACTTGCTCAGCGCCGTTCCAACCAAAGGCGCAGTCTAGGCAGGTGGCGGCACCGATCTGTTGCACTGCGCCTCCATCAGCCGACGTGTCTACTTCACGATCGAGATCTACTGTGGCTGCCGCGTTTAAGTTTTTCGTTCCCCATCAACAACACCGCCAGCTGCCTGATTGGCTTCGCAAACATTTACGATATGGGCTAGAATTGAGCGACGGTCAGACGCTGATGTGGTTCAAACACGGCACGGGCATTTGTCTGAACACGGTCATACTTGCGGCGATATCAACCGCAGCTAATACATGCGGCGTCGACATTGTATGCTTTGATTGCGATAGACATGGATTTTCCTCGCCAACAAGGCCTGAACCAGGATTTCACTCCCACCTTTTCGAAACTAGCCACTCGAGCTCCGCGATCCTATCGTCATTGAAAAATAGACTCTGGGCAAGGGCACGGACTCGTTTTTCTGATGTTTCAGAGTTTGGGAGTAAGGACTATATTGAAGGTGAAGGGAGTAGAGGCTGCATCCTGGAGCGAGAGGGGGTGAGCTCCATCGGCGAATCAGATCTGGATCTAGGCAACCGCCAGAGGTCTTCAGACCTATATGCGAGCATCAGTCTGCTGTGATCTACTAAGATTCGTGCAGTGCGTGCACGCAGCTACTCTCGTGATCGGTGCTGGTTGAAACGAGGGAGTGACGTGGCTGCTGCACTTTGCCGCTATCCATGGGCCTGTCTGCTCCAAGCCATGAGCCTCGACCGCGAAGATTGAGCTTCCAAGACGGATTCTCAGCCTTCCAGTTGTGCAACTCACGAGCATAATCGATTACTCGTTCCCTTAGCTGATGGCTTGATCGAGGGTAGATCGACCGATGTGAGCGTACCTGTGTAAATTTGAGGATCTTATGAATACCTGCCTACGCCCTGAGTTTCTACTCTCATTCGCCAACGGAGGACGCACCTTTTGTCACATTCAAACGAACCCTTTACTGCGACTATGGCGGTCAAAAGGCACGTTCAACAAAATTGGTTTGATTTTATCTATTAACACCGATCTCCAGAAAAATGGCTCCTTTCTGCGATATGCATCCCAGCATATCACAGTCCCCCGTCTTTAGGATGCCCAAATGGTGGCCTGAATTCGTGAGAGGAGAAGCGGCACTCAACGAGACGAAGGATGTGACATCCGGATGTGACGAGCTGGAACAACATGGTGAGCTGTCATGAATGCCGTCTTTAGCAACTCACTGACTCTACCCCAAGGGTCGAATCGCCTTGCCTCATGACTCTACAACATTTCCTAGCAGCGATAACAACATTTCTGTCACTCTTTCCGCCTCGCGGGCAGGAGAATCTGCCTCTCAGCTTACCGATGACACATTTACACCGATACTTACACGGACCTTGCCTGAGGACGCATTTGCCTCAAAGATACATGCGATAGAATCCCTGGGCAGGTTGTGGGAAGTTGAGAAAATACTACAAAGGCGCCCCGACCGAGGTCGAAGATTGCGTGCCGAGTGTGCCAAGCGGTATTTGGTGCAATGGGCGCCGAGTTGGTTGTCTTTTGAGGAACTCCGTTATGCACAGCAAGTTTGGAAGATCGTCAAGACTTCGCTAGGCAGGCATGCAAAAACGAAGGGCCCCCAAGTCCGAGCAGAATTAGAGTCCACTGGGCCCCATCATGGGTATCGGCTGTTGAACCGCTCCAACAATTGCAGTCTATGTGATTGAAAGCTTGTAATTTATCGGTTAGTGTTAGGTTTCGTTGCATGCTGATTGACCGCCGAGCTTTAGCTTTCTCTAGCGATCCTCATGACTTCTACACGCTTTCTATATCTCACAGCAAACTCGCCACTTTAATACGAACACTCCTGAGCAACTTCGAACGCCTATATATTCTGCATCCCTGATATTTGTTACCTGATGACTTTTGAAAAGCGCAGACATTCTTACCTCAACCTGAAACCAACTATTTCATGGTTGTTCCATTGAGGTACTTATAGGCGGCGAAGCCGGCTAAGCTGGCCATCCCCATAGCGACTGCAGCGTTCTTGAGCCCTGACTGCCAATCTCCCGGTGAACGCTGTTCTTCCGCTAGCTTCCTACGCCGCTCATTGTCCGCCTTGACTCTCTTCTCAAAGTCTGCCTTCAACATCTCCCTATCATGCTTGGCTTCAGCAAGATCTTGTTTGAACTTGTTAGCTTGTTCTTGTAAAGCGGCCCGTATTTTGTGTTCGTGTGACTGCTGGATTTCGGCTAATGTCGAGTCGAAGCTCTCCTGGTATTTCCGAATCTTCCCGGACAAGTCTTGAGCAATCCTTCGACCAGCTGTAGTATCGCTGAGTTGCATTCCATTTCCCAGCTGACGTTGAATCTGAAGCCAAGTAGGCTTGAACTTGAGTATTGGTGCGATGATATCACTTATAGGATCAGCGATTCCGGAGGAGTGATTAGCTACTCCACCAAGTCGCTTCGGCCCGGAGCAACCTAGCTTCATATAAAGATTAAGTATCATTACTAAGCAGGCTGTGGGACTGCTATCCTACGGTCTGATTATGGCCTACGTCTGAAAAGGTCATTTGGAACAGTATTTTGTATGCAAAGATGTCTTATAACGATGTAGTGTTTTGTATGCCAGTTTATACGGTACTTTCATTAGGAATTAGGCAACCCCAACCATTCATTCAGGCCTCCTTTTCTGCATCCTGCGCTATTGATCGACATCACATGCTTCACTGTGCCTGTTCCTGCGGGCACATAAGCGCACCAAAAAGGGGCCCGGACTTTCCCAATCCCGCTTACGTTGATTGGCCCATGGTGGGCGACCACTCATGCACGGTATCCCAATCGGCGATTTTTGGTTCTTGATTTTTCCATGATCTGATCCCTTCAAGTCGCGCTCTTCTGGGGCACTCTTCTCGAGGACCATGCAAAGAAGAGTACAATAGTGACCGCCAAGGATTACCGCCCCAAAAAGCGCCCCTTAAAGAAGAGAGAAAATCAAAAAATCGCGGGGTTGAGGCCGTACTAAGGTATCATGACATCTTCCGACGAAAATAACTTCGTATGGGGACACCACCGTCGTCACTCTCATCCACACCGATATTTCCGGAGCTCGAATCTATTTATGGCTGCTTTGGCTCGGCCAGATGAAGAAGTTTCCCCAGTAAGCCAAGACACGGAAGTAACAAGTGAAAACGTCGTGTCTATGCAGGTCATTCTTTGCAGCAGCTGAGTCCTTGGCTACATGGCCAGTGCCCCTCGAAGTCTCATACATGTAAAGAGCAATGCGCGAATAAGTTGTCTCAAGATCCTTCGCCGCTTAAAGCTGTCGATTTCTCTCATTTCGGAAGGTTCCATCGATATACATGCAGATTCCCTGCAAAGTCGATCATATACAACATGAGAATGTGGGAGGGGGTGGTGCGATTGCTACTTAGATCAGCACCGAGGAATTTACAACAAGCATGCACATTCTCCCTCGAGCCTGTCGAATGTCTAAGCACAAGGGTACTCAGCTCCTTTGAAATTGTCGAAAACATTCACCTACCTGTGGGGATTTCAATTTAAGCAAATAAATACGGACATGGGCAGCAAAACGGCTATTGTTGCACGGTATCTATGGTCCGAGAAAGGTTCTACATGCATCGATGGCAGAAATACATGTCGATTTCGTATGCATCCATTATTGACAGACTCATATGTCAAATGCCTCGGCTTTCGCCTCCTTTTTCCTGTACAGAGCCTTGTACCGATCAGTCGGATCCAGTCGGAGAACGCTCGTGACGATCTGTCCTTGCCTCTGTGTCTTCCCAGCCATAAATGTTTTGTGACCCGGACAATGCTCTCTCATTATTTCTTTACCTCTATGATAATTTTTCACCAGCCATGGTTATCAATACTAATCCTTCGACCCAGCAACATACCATTGTAGTTGTTTGCATCGTTGCTCCTATTTTCTCCAGTCTGTTTGCAGCGATCCGTATTTGGACCAGAATCTTCATTACTCATTCCATTGGCCGGGACGACTGTAAGCTACCTCACCTTTCTCTTTTTACGGTCTCACTCTCACACAATACAGATGCTTCTTTGGTTACTTTGGTGATGCTTACGCTAGCCTTTACTCATTGTAGCCTTACTAATGAGATCCGAACAGCCATTTTGCATAGCCTTCAGTGTTCTTGTTGGTTTAGGTATACCTGTTGCCCCTTAAGTGTAAACCTTCCTGCTCACCAAGCTCTAGGAACGAATTATGGCTTTGGTTGGCACACTGCCGACGTTCCACCTGATCGCTTTGTTTTCTATTACAAGGTATAAGACTCTCGGCATTTGCTCTGATATTGCTGACAACAGTTTCATCCCAGTGGCTCTTTATCATCTCTGCCGTCTATCTTTCCACCTTATGGTTGTACAAATTTACTATTCTCCTTCTCTATCTCCGTCTCTTCGATGTGCATAAGCCGTTTAGATACGTTACCTGGACAGTCATGTTCCTCGTTTTTGGTTACCTATCTAGCAATCTTTTGACTCTGATATTCGGCTGCACACCGATCGACAAATACTGGAATTCAATGAATCCCGGTCACTGTATCCCCTCGACCAAGGCAGACCTTTTGTATGGTTCGATGAACTTCATCACAGATGTCCTTATCTTTATCTTACCTCTACCAATGATCTGGCGATTGAAGCTATCTCGGGAAAACAAGCTAGGTGTCATCCTCATTTTCATGGGTGGAGCCATGTAAGGGTCCACCGCCAACGCAGTTATTCCGTGACATGAAGCTTAAAACCCACCAGTGCCTCTGTCGTTGCCCTCGTTCGCTATGCCTTCCTACTTCGTAGATACTCCGCGACCGATATCATATGGTATGACGGAAAGAACCTGCTCTGGATGTGAGTCATTCTTTCTCTACCATGTACTCACCATCCACGCCACTGCGTCTTGACACAGCATTCCATCTCTTCACATTCTTGCAACCCTGAGCGACTGACAATTCACAGGGTCCTCGAGGTCAACACCGGGCTCATATGCAGCTGCACCACCGCTTTCAAACCTTTCTTCAGATACCTCGCCTCCAACTACATTTTCAAAAAATCATCCCCGGTTTCAGTATCGCATCGAAAGACGGCCGTACCCTCCGGGAGACGAAGTCATACCGGCCCATTGGCGCAGCAGGACACGGGAGGGAGGGGATTCATGGTTCTTGGAGACGAAGAGACTGAGATGGATGGATTCACTGGGGCATTGGGGGTAGGGCACGAGGTTTAAAGAGTCACGGAGGGTTAGGTGGCCGGCCATTTTCGTCGAAGACGGTCCGTCTGTCTATATTCTATTGTGGGTCTCGGCCCTCCACTTGCGTCGAGGCCAAGTTTTGGGCGTAGTGACCTAAGCATGGATGTGATTGCGATATGTGTCAGGCCTGATTCTGACAGATACCTAAGCTTATAGGGCTTAATAGGGTGTATTCGTGCATGAAGCGCGATACCCTCGCATTTTTGGGCCTAGGGCCTGGTGGTTAACAGTGCTTAAAAAATATGCTGGTGAACATCGTTATCTTTAACTTGTAGAAGAAAGTCGCGAATTGGATCTATGTAGTTTGAACTATAAATGCGTCTTTGAAAGAATACAACTACATCGGCAAACCAGGAACCCGCGAGAAAATCTCAAGTTGCAAGTTGCGTATACTGCGTAATTTACAGCAATTTGCAGCCCGGAAGCTGCACTCGATATCGGATACATGTTGGCAACGACGGGAAGTCTTTAGGGAGGCATTCATCAACGTCAGCCTGATTTCGGGCTCGGAATTAGACGATTCTCTTAAATTGCTCACGGGGGTGTCGTCGGTAGCGACCTTGGGGGGCCCGGCTTGGGGGTCTGGGTACTTGTACACGTTCCACAAAATGAACATGTAGGAAGCATCGATGCATGGCGAGACAATAATGAGCAAGAACTTGGGTCATGCGAGCGTTTTTAGACACATGAGAACCAAAAGAGAAGGTCTTACAGAGTAAAGCTAGGGCTAATCTTGAGAGTACTCAATCAGACAGTTCCATCTTATCCCAAGTGGGGAGGCTGTTGGATTCCTGGGAGATCTCTTGATCGGTATTCGACGCAAATTTAGCGAGCCTCCTTCCGAAGTGTCTGTCCTTGGGGGTCTCTAATGGCTGGGAGTTGTGGACCTCTTGACCTTTCTTCTTCTTGTCCGGCGTCAGTCTGGGGGTTGGTAGTGACTCGTAATGCCTTTTCTGAACTCTGTTATTTTTTGGGACCGAGATTGGATTGTGTCGCTCTGCCTGCCTTTTCTTTCGAAGATCATAGTGACGGCCAACTTTTTTATCCTGTGTGACCTGCTGTGTAGGAGTGACTGCCCGGGGGTTGCTGTGCCACCATGTCTCGTCATTGGCTATTGGAAGACTCGCTAGAGGAATAACGACGGAAGGCTTTGAGGGTGTCCCAGGTAGCTGTACTGCTAGCGGTGTCGTTATTGTTTCGCTAAGCCATGGGAGGCGTAGGCATTTGTCTACGGAAGGTCTATCGCTGGGGTCAAAATGTAGCATGCTGCCTACTGTCGATAGAGCGCCGCAACGGTCGATCTGATCTGGTTCGCTCGCATCTAGCTGTTCAGCTATTGGTGCATTGATGTACTTGTTGAACCGTTTGCGATTCTGTATCCACATCTTCGGCGGATTGACGCCAAGAATGTCCAGGAGTAGCATGCCTAAAGCATAGATGTCCAGGTTTTGAGTATAGGGACGGCGTTGGTTCTTCGGGACAGCGCCATTTCGGACTACCTCTGGCGCCGCATACCCCGGTGATCCGCAGAAGGAGACCGGGTTGTCCAAGGATACCAAGCCATAATCGGCGACGACGAGATCGAGAGGCTGGTCTTTCTCATTTCACACGAGGATGCTGTCCGGTTTAATGTCTCGGTGAATGTGACCTCTCTCATGTAAGTGACGCAAAGCTTCTAGAATCTGACGTACAGCCTCTCTCAATTCGGTCAGGCGAGGAGGATTTTGTCGCAGATTACCCCGCTGAAAGTAAGGCATGATGATTGCAAAGCCGTCTTCGTACTCGAAGACTGCATCCGCGCGAAGTAGGTGAGCCTATGATTCAACTTAGCCCTCTGAAATGGTACAGGGTGACAAGGAAGCCTACGTGTGTTAAACGCTGTGACGCATGTCTCCCTTAGCATGTTGATCTCACTCTGTGGTCTTTCTTGTGAGTAATGTTCTTCATGGTTGTACTCCATGACTTTGACAGCATAGAGGGCCCCCGTTTGACGGTTGATATACTGGTAGACAATTCCTTGTCCGCCATTTTTCAAGCGTCTCCCTCGAGCGTAGTCGAGTAATGAGGGTTCAGGCTCCAACGATTCCGTTGGTTGAGACATCGGAAGGTAAGGGCGACAGTGGGCTAATCTGTGTAGCGTGAGGACAAGAATTTTAGATGTTAGGTCAGTGCAGGTCTTTGAGCTAGAAGACCGGTATCTTGTGTCAAATTGAGAGCGAATACTGATATATTTGAATAACGCAACGGCTGATAAGAGACCTCGAAGCGTTTAACCGCCCGGTGAGAAATGATTCATATGAATGCTGCACACCATGTCTATGCATTGCCCCCTCTTCACGTGAAGCGCTGAGGAGCATCGACTTGGTGAAGTCCAAAACCCACGGAAGCATGGAACAACTCCTGCATATCGAATGGCAGATTTACGAGAATTATGAAACGATCAGAGTAGGATTGCTAAAAGACAAGGCACAGCGTACATCTGCGTCGATCGCGGATTCTCACATGCATTGAATGTGACCAGCTCAATGCTTTATTCGTACGATTAGCGCTGAAGACTATATTTGGATATATTTTACACCATAATATACTACTTCCAGGACCAAGATGAACTCGTAGAGGCTACTTAGTGTCACCTT